AGTTGTCTTCTGCACAGTGTCGTATTTTGTCGGATTTTGTTGGAATCACGAGGGAGTGGGGTTGAAGACAATCTGTCATAAAAGGTATCACAGGCTTTTGCAGGAGCTGGAAGGGTGAATGCTTATTTATCCACATGTTGAATTTTATATATTGGCCTTCCAAGCCAATACTCTCTGGAGAAAGGCTGCTCTTGCACTCTTGTAAAATAATCTCCATATGGCTAGAACTGATATAAAAGGCAGTGTTAGGGAAAAAAGTGAAAATTATAGAGCCCACTGGAGCCCATGTTTTGAACTTGTTTTCAGAGCTCAGAGATCAGACAATGGGAGCCACTTTCTGGTTACTTTTCCTTGAGCCTCTCTGAGGCCAATTAGTGGTTAAATAAATTGAAGTGCTGTAATTTTCTATCGACAAACAGTTATGACTGCTATAAAAGCTGCCTCATGTCTGACTGCGGGGGCCCTGTTTACATTTTGCTTTTCATTGACAACAATTGCTACTTGTTCCTTAGTTCTCAATCCCATCATAGATGCCTCAGAAAGAGGGAAAATAAGTTTTCTCTGCAGGAAATGTCCTATGAAATCAGATCCAGTGTCATATTTGTCCTGACTGTTTTTCATATTTTCTTTTCAGTTTTCTACGGAAGGGCTCCTACGGCTGGGAAATGGTCTGAGTACAGCTCCCTGAAGTTCACGTGTGGGAAGCCTATCTCCCCAGGGTTGCAGAGTCAGGAGGGAGTGAAACATTTAGGGGTGGGCTTAGAGCAAGGCCTGAGGTCACTAGGAACACTGACCTGATCTCCCTGAGTCACTCCTGTAAGAAGGAGCTGTTATGAAAAAGCAAAACCCCTTTCGCTTCCTGTCTTGCTGTTATCTCCCCCTCTGACATATATTTCCATGGTTGTGGGACCACGTACCACAAGATCATGGCCCAATGCTTTGAGCAGGTGCCAGTGCCTCTTGAACCTGCAAAACTCTGAGCTACCTCTTTTCTCTACATATTTTCAAGCTTTGGTTAGTTTGTTATAGTAACAAGGAATGGGCTAATGCAGATTGAATTGATTAATGGATTTTATCCTAAATTAAAGTTAAAATAATAATAGAAGTCATAAGCCTAAAACATATATTACTCTCAGATTACTTTTATTAAGTCATATATATATATATATATATATATATGTAAATTCTCCATTCACAATTATGTGTATGTGCGCACGTGCGCGGGCGCACACACACACACACACACACACACACGGCAAGAGGGGAGCAACATTTTATACTCTGTATTCATTTACTTCTAGATAATATAGGCTAAAATAATCGATTTTACTTATGTCTAAATATTTACAGTTTTCTCATTGATTATATACTAACTACTTTGTTATCAAAAAACATGCTGATCACAAAAAAAAATAAAAAATGCTTTTCCTTATCTACTGTTCAGTGTCCCTCTCATGGCACTAACTCGGATCAGTGGTCTCTGAATAGGAATCAGAATTAATCCACCTTAAATTTGACAAATTCTCATCAACGGTCCTGCCCACTGAATGCAACTTTCGGAGAAGGCATTCCATGACCCACAGTGGGTACCTGAAACTCTGGTAGTATCTGACCTTATAGACCTTGTCTTTTCATATACATACATACCTATGATAAAGTTTAAAGGATAAATTAGGCATAATGAGATATTAACACCAATAGCTAAAATAGTTCAGTGATAGCAATAATCTCAGCTCAGCAGACTAAAGTGCCTGCTTTGGCAGAGCGCAGCAGCTGGGGGTGGCGGGGGGTGCTGTGCCGGCCACGGCCCCGGGTGCGCTGAGACAGTGACTGAGACTGGGCGTGATGGCGCATGTCTATAATCCCAGCACTTGGGGGGCTGAAAAACAGGAGAATCACTACGATTATGATCTATGTGGTGAGACCCTGTAGTCCCTGCCCTAAATATAGAAAAAGAAAACAATTTTAAAAACCAATAATCTCTAGTAAAATGGGTATGAGAGCTATTTCCTAGTAATATAAGGGTTATGAGAAGAAGCTCTGACATTCAACAGTTGATCTGCTAACCAAGATTACAGCACTAACTAGCAGGTGGTGTGGACAGTGTGGACATGTGAACGGTAGTTCACATCGGAGCGAGATGGAGCAGGACGGTGTGAAAGTTCACCCCACTATCATAACAGCCTGTGCTTTAGTATTTATAAATTACATATCTTTAAAGGTCTATCTTACATACATTCTGACACAATCTCTGCAGAAATGTACTTTGCTATTAATGGAAACATTGTCTTGATATAAAATTAATACATTTTAGTTATTAGAAATAAAACTTAGACGATGAGTATGACTGAGGATTTTAATAGCAGTGAAGTAGCACTCTTTTTTTGCCTGTATAGTTTTGTGAATTTTCTGCTCTAGTTGAGACACTTAAGCACTCGAATACATTTCTGCTGAGTATGTTTCCTGGGCTTTGTTGCCTTATAGCTCTTTTTCAGACTTGAAAAAAAGCTGTAGGAAGCATTTTTTAAAAAATTGATTTATTTTGCAGAACTTGGGATTGAACTCAGACCCTTGTGCTTGCCAGGGAATCACTTATTCTACTGAGCCATCTACTCACCCCCCATTTTTATTTCTATACAATACCTGACATAGCTTCTTTTTATTGGCTATAGCTCTGTACAAAATACATTGGTAAGATTAGTAATTAACTAAATACAAGTGGGTAGTATCCTCACTACTCTTCTACTGTGCCTGTAAAGCGCTCTTTTCCTTTGTTAATACTAGAGAATTCTAGCGTGTTGCTAGACCAGTCTCACCGCGGTGGTACCCTATGAGGACACTGACATCCAGGCAGTGCAGTGTAACCTCTGTTGTAACATTAGTGCTTATTCTAATAATTCGCAGGTGATGGCATTCACTTTAAACTTAGGCTAAGGCTGGAAATGGCTACCTGTCTTGTGATCTGAGTAGAAGGAACAATACACTTGTTCCTTTCCTGAGAATTCTGAACATGAGTGCCTTGAAGAAAAAAAAAAAAAAAAAAAAAAACCACTCTGGGCCAGCCAAACAGCTCAGTGAATTAAAGTGTCTGCAAGCAGGTGAGGGGCTGGGGGTTCAATCACCAGGTCTGCCGTGCCGGCCATACCCTGGGGTGCCCTGACCCAGTGATTGAGACTGGGTGTGGAGGTACGAACCCGTAATTCCAGCACTTGGGAGGCTGTAAACAGGTGAATCACTATAAGACCAATCTAGTAGTGAGGCCCTGAACACCCTGTAGAGCCTTAAATACAAAAAGAAGAAGAAGAAGAGGAGGAGGAGGAGGAGGAGGAGGAGGAGAAGGAGAAGGAGAAGGAGAAGGAGAAGGAGAAGGAGAAGGAGAAGGAGAAGGAGAAGGAGAAGAAGA